ATTTTTAATTTATATTTTTAATATATAAATTACATAAATTATAAATATAATATATATTGTAATTTTTTAAAAGTTAAGATGCCATGTATTTAGGACATTTTTTCTTTTAATCTTTTTTTTGTTTAATAGTCTTCCCGTGTAAGACCTGTACTTTTAAGTCAATTAGCCTCCGTCAAAGACGGGCTAATGTTTGTTTACTTTATTTTTCAAAAGTCAAAAGAAAAATTATTTAAAATTATATTATTTTAATAAAAAAATTTTAAAAATTATAGTACTTTATTTTTAGTTAATATATAAATTACATAAATTATAAATATAATATATATTGTAATTTTTTAAAAGTTAAGATGCCATGTATTTAGGACATTTTTTCTTTTAAATTTTTTTTTTGTTTAATAGTCTTCCCGTGTAAGACCTATACTTTTAAGTCAATTAGCCTCCGTCAAAGACGGGCTAATGTTTGGTATAGTTGTGAGAGAGACAATCATTGAAAAAGTTGAAACAATGTTTCAAATTAAAGATAGAAATTAATTTTAGTATGACATTCATTTACTTTATTTTTCAAAAATTAAAAGAAAACTTACTTTAAAATTATATTATTTTAATAAATATTTATTAAAACTTATAATACTATATTTTTAGAATATAATTAAATTAAGAAAATATATTTATTTCATTTTTAATTTATATTTTTAATATATAAATTAGATAAATCATAAATATAATATATATTGCAGTTTTTTAAAAGTTAAGATGTCGTGTATTTAGGACATTTTTTCTTTTATTCTTTCCTTTGTTTAATAGTCATCCCGTGGTAGACTGGCACTTTTTGGTCAATTAGCCTTCGTCGAAGACGGGCTAATGTATGGTATAGTTGTGAGAGAGACAATTGTTGAAAAAGCTAAAACAATGTTTTAAAATAAAGGTAGAAATTAATTTAAGTATGACATTCATTTACTTTATTTTTCAAAAATTAAAAAATAATTACTTTAAAATTATATTATTTTAATAAATATTTATTCAAAATTATAATACTTTATTTTCAAAATATGATTAAATTAAAAAAATATATTTATTACATTTTTAATTTATATTTTTAATATATAAATTAGATAAATCATAAATATAATAT